GGTTGCTTTACTGGTTGCGGTGCTGGTACTGGTTGTGGTTTCAGTACATGCTGCTGTGCCAGTAGCTGTTTAAGTGCCAATGCTGGATTCAGTACTGGCTGCTGTGGCAGTACTGGTTGCGGTGCCGGTTTCTGTGCCGATACTGGTGCACGACCATGTATGTCAACAAGCAGCTGTGCGGTCTTGTACTCCAGCAGAAACTCGGGGTAGATCTGGTGCTTCTCGAACACAACAAATATGGAGGGATTCATAATGTCGTCGACGCAGCTGTCGAAGAAGTTTATCTGTCCACCGTCTTTGGAGGGAGGTCGTCGGTAGTCGGAGGCCCCTTTGGTATAGTCTCCTACCAGCACCCGAGAGACGAACATGGATCTGACATCAGCGTTGCCGGTGTAGTTGTGGGAGTATGTGGCATCCCGGGCAAAGTAGCTACCTGGGTTTGGACACACAAAAAAAATGATTGTGAGGTAATTATATAGGCAGATGTGGGCAGAGACTCGAGGGATGTAACAAAGGACTATTTACAGCAGTCATTTACAGCCTGATAGAAAAAAAAGTTTTGATGTCTATAGCTCGCTTCTTCATTTCGGACACCTGTACAGAGGGTACACTTTTATCTATGTCACCCATTTAAAGTGTACTAGTTTACTAGCTGCTTTGAATAAGTCATAGGAAAGTCCACTGGGCTTCAAAAACCCACCATTCAGGAAACCTTCGGGGAACGAAGGGTTTGTCTGTTTTTGTGTACAGTCAGTCCCATTGGGAAAAAAAGAAAACATATGAACATTAATACTGCGGTTGATCTGGAAACAGACCAGGAGGAGGCGGGTAGTGTATGAACGTATGTGTGCTGAGGGCAGGGAGTGGATATGGTGGTTATTTGCAGGCCTCACGGCTCTTATGCCACAGGAAGCAGCAGCAGCAGCCATATTGATCAGTTTTCATGCCGTCCTTCATTTCACTAAGGACCCCGACCTGACCGCTGCTGTTTCTAATCCACTTATGAGACCTACAGAGACAAACAGACCTGCAACTCCCAGAGGTGCTTTTAGGACATTTTTAAGTTGCTTTGGCGCAAAAACAAACACAAGACGCGAGTGCTCTAAACTAAAAGGTTTCAGTCTGGTGGCTGCCTTTCACAACACAAAATCAACATGGCCTCATTTAACTTTATTATGAGCAGCAGGAATTTATATTTAAAAAAAAAAAGTCACTTCTGCTTTAAGAAAAAAGCTCCTTTGAAATTGTGACTTTTTGACCTTATACGTGTTATTTATCCATTTATTTTATGCACTGACTCAACCAAAACACCGACCAATATCAGATTACCCAAAAGCAAACGCACTATTCCGTCCTGCGGCGGTTCAACGGTGATCAGTGCTCATTATTGCAGTCACAAATGCACATCAGTCAGGATTCTACCTCTATTATTTACTTACTGCAGTGAAATCAGTGGGTAACATCTGTCTTCACGGCCTCCCTTCCTCTTTTCTGCTCTTGTGGTTCTTTAAAGTTCCCTCTTTCTTTCTTTTTTTTCTCTGATTGTGAGTGGAACACAGGGTTCAATCACCACATCAGCAGCAGAGACGCTTCAGGAGAAACAAATTACGGCTCCGAGAAAGCAACTGTTTACATCCTTAGCCCATGTTATGTATTAAAGCTGTTGTGAAAGCATGAATGACTTATTTCTTATGCAGACATTACAGTTCGGGCCTACTTGTCTATAGCAATATGTATATAAATACGGTTTTCAAAGTAAACAAGGAAAAATCTGTAAAATAACAGTTTAAAAAAATGATTTAGAATGTTGTTAGTCCCTAATATACATAATTGTTCTTTGCCAGATTTGAAAAGAAAAGTTCAAATATACCAAAGAAAAATTAGGAGTATTTCTATATGTATATTGGTAAACAATCTGTCAAATATAGTTTAAAAAAAATGTTTTTGTTGATTTAAATACAGCAAAAAAATAGTGCAATTTTACTATCAAGAATTACTATTGTAATCTCTATTTTTGTTGTTGTTGCTATTTTGCCAGTTATTTTCTGTGACTTGGAGGAATTTGCAAAATGTCAAGAAACTGCTCAAATGATTACACTTAAAAACAGTTTTTTAAAAGAGCTAATTTTTCACAGTTTATGCTGTGTTCACACAGATTATTATTATTATCTGAAACTTAATAAAACAGGGAAAATCTATAAATAACTGTAAACTGTTTAGAGACAATACAGTTAAAAGCTGCTTTACAAAAAGCGCTCATTTTAATTTTACAGTGGAAAGAACACAAAATGTTCATATAAGAACAAAACGTTTGGCAAACACAAAGCTGTGTCATGTGACCTTGAAAATAAAACACTGCTTGAGTGCCAGTGACATGAATCTAACATTTATTGATTTTCAAAGCACAAAATCAACAGTGTTAACACATGATTTCAAAGAAAAATGCATTTTTTTGTTGTTTTTCTTGTTGTGGTGAAATCAGAACACTCAGCACAAAATCTGCAAACGAACAACGCTAAACATGTGCAAAACTAGTAATCTACTCAACACTCTACGAAGCCTCATTCATCTTCATTTTGTGAGTAAAAGCGTTAACTTTCCATTTTTGACTGTCAGCAGGTATTGTGTCGCCCTCTACTGGTTGGTAGAGGCTGTGTTGCGAACATTTACCATTGCTGACGATGCTGCATCCGGCGCAGCCCTCGATTTTCTTCTGTTTGATTTTTTACGTTGTATCGCAACGATGACGTTAACCAATAGGAGCTAAAAGCGCTCTACGGTGCACAATATGGTAAACATGGCAACGTGACGGTCAGTCTACAGGACAGACGAACCACCGTACTGCCACTTCTGTGCAACTTGACGGATGCATAGTGTTTTTCTCATTTATATTTTTCAGCCAGTGTCATACACACTGCTTGTGATGCATATGTTTGTTTACTTGTTTCCAGAAGTTGATTCCCGATGCATTCACACAAATCGTAGAAAACAGCGAGCAGTGATTGGTCGGGTACCAATGTGTATTCTGTCATGTGTCTCAGCTGAGCCAGTGCAGCCCTATCTATGTGACTCCACTGCAGCAGTATCTGACACAGTGACGTATTTAACAGTGCATCATGTGTTTTTAATTCTACAACTTCCTGAGCAAGATTTTAAAAACTACACTCGGGAACGTTTGCCATACGGTTAGCCAACCGTTGCTTTTTACCACACCGACTTCTTTAAAGTAGTGTGACATGCGCTGCACCAACCCTCCGTCAGCATTTTTAATGCATATTTTTCGTTGAAAAAAAACCTGAGCGGAAAGGCTGGGACAAAACAGCCTTTTTTTTTTTTTTTTAAGATTTATTTGACGTGTAAAAAGTGGTGCATCGACAAAAACGAAACTCTACCAAGTGCAATAGAAACGCGGGTAGTGAATAAATCGTAGTACCATGTTTCTTACATATTCACTGTGCCAACCATTTCAATTAAGTTTTCTATATTGTTCATGTTTAGAATTAAGCCTAAAATGGTTTAATCCCATCAGGCTGTGGCGTTAGCGCTACCGTCTGTTTATTATTAACAGGAGTGGATGGAAAAACACACCAGTTCATGTTATCTGTTTGGGATTTGGTGGTATATGTTTAAGAGTTGGATGGAAACTTAATGGGCTACTGTACAGCACAGCAGCTGTCACTAGTGTTTACTTCTAAGTGCAATTTATGATTAATGATTTCAATGCTATTTGGCCTTCCATAGTAATAAGCACATTACGTTAGACTGCCACATGTTTGTATATTTTAGCTGATATTGTGGCTATGTTAAGCTGTTCGCCCAATAACCCAAAGCATCAAGCTCCTTCAAATGCTATTATCTATTTCAGAAACAACATCTACCCTCACTTCACCATCGTCCCTAAGCAATGACACAGGAATTAGTTTGCTTCTTTGGCGGTGGGCTTGGTGAGGAAGGTGGAGAAAACTGAGAAGATCGGTACAAAGAGGACGACGTGCCACGAGAAACTGGTGAATTGTATTGGGATTGCCAAGACGAGGTGCTGGATTGGTAAGACGAGGCGCTGGGCCGGTATGAGGATGTGCTGGATTGGTATGAGGATGTGCTGTGCTGATAAACTGGCGAGGCGAGTGGGTGTGACACTGTGTTGTGTTGATAGACTGGTGTGCTCTGGACAGCAGGTCTCGGTGCTGGCGTTGGTTTCAAAATGGGTGCTGGTTTGGGAGCCGGTGCTGGCTTCGGTGCCGGTACAGGGTTCGATGCCCACCCTGTCGCACCACCGAATACGTCATATTGTGGTGCTGTGGTCTTGTACTGTAGCAGATACTCGGGGTAGATCTGGTGCTTCTCGAACACAACAAATATGGAGGGACTCATAACGTTGTCAACGCAGCTGTCAAAGAAGTTTATGTCTCCGCCGTCTTTGGAAGGGGGTCGACGGTAGTCAGAGTCCCCTTTGGTATAGTCTCCAACCAGCACCCGTGAGACGAACATGGTTTTGACATCATTGTCGCCTGTGTAGTTGTGGGAGTACTTGGCGTCCCGTGCAAAGTAGCTACCTGGGTTTGGACACAAAAAAGTGATTGTGAGAAAACATGTAAGCATACGGGCAAAGATTCTAGGGCAAAGGCAACATTGGATTATATTTGTTATCAATAAACATACTAATTATTTGCTTTGGTAGGTAAAAAATATCTCTGCCGCAAACTGGTGGATTGTTTCCGTTGGGTTGGACGTCAGTTGCTTCCCCAAGCGATGAGAATTTTAAGATTTTGGGATGTTGCTCAAAAGTGAGGGGAAAATGAAGCTATGAGTTGCACCAGAAGGTAAAGTTTACGATTTATCAAGTGATCTCCGTTCCAGCCGTCACCTATGGCCATGAGCTCTGAGTAGTGACCGAAAGAATGAAATTGCAGATACAAGTGTTCGAAATGGGTTTTTCCATGATGGCTGGGCTCAGCCTTAGAGAAAGGGCAAGAAACTCAGACATCAAGAGGGACGTCAGAGTCTGATTAGGAAACCTCCTGGGCGCCTTCCTTTGGAGGTATTCTGGGCACATCCAACTGGGAGGAGACCCCCGGGTTAGAACCAGACCTCACTTGAGAGATTACACATCTCATCCGACCTGGGAACACCTTGGGATCTCCAAGGAAGAGATCAAGAACGTTGCTGCTTTGCCTGCTGCAATCGTGACCCAACCCCAACAAGGTGCAAGGGTGCACAAGAGTCCAAATTACGTTAATTTCCATCCCTGCAAGTCTGTCAAAATCTGTACGTATCCCTCTGCGAATGTCCACATTGAGCTAAAAATTTACGCTTCATGGCCAGTACATTCAAGACGTAGATGTCGGTATCTTACGCATGTATGGAACGCATCATCCAAGCACACTAGAAGGTAGTATGATTTGGAACAACAACATGTCCACGTGCATGTCAGCAAGCAAGTCTAATCCCAGTTTAAACCTGTTAGCATCCAGCACATCCTCTGTACCTCGCAGTATATTGTGAAAGTGGTGCACCAGTTGTGACGTGTTTTATCTGAACCAGCAAAGATTAGTTTGTCAGAGCTGAAGAAGAGAGCAACCATAATGATGGAGATGAGCAACCAGCAGTTTGGAAGGATTACAGTCTAAAAAAAGTATCGATTAACGTCAAGGCAAATGTCATAAGCACTTGTCCACACTGCAGATATAAACAACTGATCCATTATCAAAGCAGCTGCTGCTTAATTTTTAATCAATCGTGCTTCTGTTTTGCAAAGACAACAGTCTCAAAAAGATAAAAAAGTCAAAACTAATTTTTATGAAACGTTCCTTCAAACCTAAGTGAGCATGAAGTGAGTTTTACCTGCTGTGTGTCCAAATCCCAGCACATTTTCTTTGTAATTTAAGACAAAGCTTATGGTTTGTTCTCAATCCACTAAGTAACTCAATATGAATATTTATTCGACCCACCTTTGCCAAAAGCGGTTCCATTAACTCCACAGACTCTCCAGTCGAAGTTGTTGAGGCAGATGGCCTCCACGTATTTATTGTCAGTGCCATGAAAAAGCTTCCTTTCCATCACAGCGCCCCCTCCTTTGTTGGTCTTCATCTGATTCTTCTGCCTTGAGTTCAGACAAATAAATCAGAAGACTTAAATTAAGCTGGTACATTTCGATATGGGTTGCAACTTAAAGTGAAAACGTGTGTTTTGCTGATCGGCTCCACCGCCATGAGAGCTAAATGCTGAACTGCTGCAAAGCAACAGAAAATCGAGAAAAGTCAAAGTCTAGATAGAGATTCAGTTATATCAGTAACGCAGCAATATCTGTGTAACGTTTGCTGACATTAGCCGTCATTAAAGCTACTTGCAAAAGCATGAAATTTTGTTTCTGTAGGAATAAGAATGTGTCATTTTAACTTAATACATTTGCATAGTTTCCCTTTATCGGTCAGAAAGAGGCAGTTACTTGCACAGACACATTGATAACAAAGACAGAAGCAATTTGCCAGAGAAATAAGTGACCGAATGACAAGTAGATCTCAACCGATACTGGATTTTTGAGACCGATGTCAATTTTACAGAGTAAGAAATTCCAATATTGACATATTCCACATGCTATTCAGATGTATGTTAGAGTTACGTTGGAAGAGATTAGATGGTATTTCACAAACTAGTTAGAAGCTTACAATGAAGACAAAGCTTGACTCCGCACCACCTGCTCTGCTACATGTGCTGCAGACAGACCTAACAGCGTTGTAAACAATGGAGGTGGAGCAGCTCTTCTGAATGAACTATGACACCATTTCTAAATAACCCCAGACATCTTTTTAGACAATTTTCACATCGGACAACCAACATGCTAATACAGATACATCTATGATCAGCCTCTCTTGGCCAATATCCGTCTATCAGTCGAGCTCTATTTCCGAACGCAGGAAGATCCGGTACATACCACTGGAAGACTTCCCATAGAGCTTTGTTCTGAATCCTCTCGACACTGATGATATCGAAGCCTCGCATGGTTTTGCAGAAAAGATTTTCCACCATCTTAAATTCATCCGAGGTGCTCTGCAGGGGTATTTTCTGGGAAAAAAAGAAACACTTTAAGTCACAATCAGCTCCAAATGAGATTTCCGATCAGCCAGAAACAAGCTGCCATCACAACGTTAACCCGCCAGCTACTCTCTTTTAGCTCTGCTTTGGTCTCCACCACCTACGGAGGCTAATATTCGCTGTATTTGCAGAAATGTTCGCCACACTCACATGGCTAAGTGATTATCACTGCCAGTTATCGAAGGCAGATAATCAAAATATCAGTATATCAGTATAAAATGTGCGACTGCCAACAGGATGTTGAAGGACTTTTCTTAGCTGAAGAGCAGAACTAGCTTTTGTTTGCACGTTTTGATTGGTGGAGATTCCATTTATGGGCACAAAAGCCTTCATATGGAGGAAGAATAAAATATTTTCCATCGGATCTACTTCTATTCCGTTTGATATCTCACCTCTGAATGTTGATGTGAATGTGTGGAGAGTGTTTGTCTTTGAAAGGTGGATGTGATGAAAAACCAAAAGAAAGAAAGAAAATGAGAAACTTCTTTATTTGATAAGGAGGCAGAGACAAACCATGTAGTGATGAATTACTTTGGATGCATCAAGGCATGAATTAGAGGAACAATAATAGCAGAGAAGAAATTGAATTAGAGCTTAAAATTAGAGTAAAAGAGAGATATTGCAGGCTTTTAGAAGTCCTCTATAAATCCTCATAAGGTAGAAGGGATCCTGTCTGCCATCTCTGCAGAGATGTTTATTTCAAACAAAGCGTGTTATTGAATGAAAAATCCTGTTTGGGAAGAAGCAGCACAACTTATAAGTGCGTAAAGTTGAACTCGGTATAAAGATTTATATCAAAAGTTGTTTGAGCTTGTCTGTTTGGTAATAGTAATTGGTAATAATTAATCTCTTTAATTGGATTAGTCATTGTTTAGATTGTGTTTTGTGTTGTAGGTCAGGTTAATATTTGGAAAAATGGTCAGAAAACGAAACCGAAAAGTCAAACACAATTAGTTAATGTGGACACAATAAAGTTAATGATGTGATTTAAGCTGCTTCCAGTTTAGTTGTTTATCGATATTGTTAAATCACATTTAGATTTCCATGAATTCAAAGCTTTAGCATGAGTGGGAGCCGAAGCTGCAGAGGTTGTATTTATCATGCAGGTTGAAGATGCGGTGTGTTCACGGTACCGCGCATCCTTTGGCGGGGATCTGAGTCTTGTCCCAGGTGTCTGGCACTGGGGCGGAATTCGCTGGACCTCTTCTGAAAAGACAAAGCTCAGGATTAGTTTTATTGTGAGTTGGTTTGGTTAAAATGCTAAGCTAAAATGCTAACATGCTAACACAACATGCAGTAGAAGCTCTCATGACATCCCTTTTTCCATTGCTGGGAAGCGTGTAAAAGGGTTCTGAATGTCTCCTGAAGCAGCCCTGTTTGTTGTACCTTGTCAGTTTCTTTGCTTGAACATCAGCAGCAGAAACAAAGCGAGGACGTCGACTCACAACCCTCTTAGTGCCGTAGTGTTTGTTTGTTTGGATCATGTCTGAGGGGGAAAAAAAAGTTTAATTTTAAACAAAAAACACTGTTTTATTGTGAAATGCAGCAGAACATAGAAAAAGCTAGAGCTTTGTTTACCCTGGAAACTGAGCGAGTACATCTGCGAACCAGCTTTGAACTCCAACACGCCTTTATTGTTCTCCAGATACTTCTGCTCCAGAGTGGCGCTGTCGATGTCTGACGGCCGGTGTTCACCAATCTGACAACACAAGACACGTTCTTCTGTTATTAACCTCAGAACTGATCGACATTAACATGAGACCAAAACATTATTACCTACAGAACCCGGAAATACGTAAAAGCTGCTGTTTCCCTTGAGCTGGTTAGCTCACCGCAACAATAGGCTTGGTGTTGGTGCACTATGTGGCTAATGCAGTTAATGTTACAATGGCTTTGACTGATTTCACAAATATATCGATTTCTTAACACCAACATTATATATATTATAGAATATTTCCACATAAAATGATCGCTCAGAGAAAGGGAAAACACAACAGAACTTCCTGGTCTTGCATATTCATTCAAGTTAGTATCAGCTGTTCTCAACTGTCTTGCTGTCAATAACAGATGCAGAGGGAGTTTTCTTCCTGAAGGGGGCGTGGTCAGCAGCAGCTCAGCAAGATTTAAAGCTACAGACACTGAAACAGCCTCTTTGGAACGAGACTAAAACCAGGAGTTATAAAGTCATGGTGAAATAAACCATCTTTACGTTAATTTGAGCTGAAATTTTTATAGACACATTCTAAGACATTTATTATTTATATGGGACCTTTGAAGTAGATCTGATATGCTCACACTGCAAACATTGGATGAATGAAGATCAGCTTTTTAAAATTATTTAAGGACTAAATTTCATAACAGGATCTAAATTCTGAGCTCTCAGGTTGAAGGACGGGCAACAAACTGTGCCCTAAAAATTCAAACTAATTTGACTAAAACACGAGGAACAGTGTGGATCTGCCATCTGCTCCAGAATCAGATTTATATCAGACGTCGGCGTGTTTTATGCTCCGTAACGTCTCAAAGCTGTAACTTCATGAAACCTTCTTTAGGGTCGAGTAAACCTGAGGGGCAAAAGATTGGAGAACTCAATCTTCAAACTTTATTTTTCCAACAGTCCGATATGAGCACGACGAATTCAAACAATCTGGCTGCAATCAGTGTAGCTGCTAATCCCTCCCCAGAGATGTCTGAGCCTCGTTTGGGGTTTTTTGTGTGGATGTAAAGGCATAAAAGATAAGACTGTAGCTGTGATGATGAGCTGAAGCAAGAGAATATAGAAAAAAAGAAAACATAAACCGGATAAAACAGAATTTAGAGAAGAGCAGCGTTACGTGAACACATATAGGAGTCAGTTCATCGCAGGTTTAGTCGACCACGAGTGGGAAGAATGAAGTGGGAAGTTCGACCATGGTGGGATTTTAGTGTTTAAAGTTCTGTTCCATTAAAAACTGCAACTATCACTTTATTCATTTCACCTTTAGGTAAATCCTCACAGAGCGAGTTTACCAACAGTGGCCAACTGCAGCAGCTTTTCGGGTCGAGCCGGGGCTCCAAAATGTCACGGAAACCGAAGCGCAGTGGCCATTTTTAGCCCAAATCAGCTCCACGAGGTTTGCTTGCAGAGACGTGCTGTCAGCGAGCATATCTTCAGCGGAAACTCGGGGCCGCTGCAGCTTTGTTTTCATGCTGTTTGCTAACTCCCACTGCTATCAGCTAGGAACCGTTGCACAAGTTCTGTGACGTGGCGCCGCAGAGAGCAAAGATTTCAAACTCTGATCGTGTCATAGTGACCAGAACAGACGAGGCTTTGACTGACTGCAGCATCCACACGGCGTTATACAACCGAGATGAGGAAAAACAGCAAACACTGTCCAAGGCCATTAAAACTCTATAAAAATTTACTCAAGGTATTTTTGGCTCTTTGTTGGCAAAGCAATAACATCAGTTAGCCAACTGCCATGTGCAATAAACCCAAGTGCAACTCATTCATGCAAATATTATTCCATTTGTGCTCTTAGTATCCGTCTGTTCTTCTCATTTATATTGTACACAGTCGTCCTCAAATGTATTCATACTCTCCCATTGAAGAAGGAAAATAGCCTAACCCTAACAAAAGTAATAATAAATAAAAATGTAATGAAAGTCATGACATTGCTTTAGAATTGTGGTTCAACAGAAATATTTTTTTTAAAAAGCACGATGGGACCCATAAACTAATATTTCGTTGAACAACCCTTTGAGCCAATCACTGCCATTATCAGGTGTTTTCTGTAACTCTCAGTCAGACTTCTGTACCTGTTGACAGGTGTTCTGATTTCACTGCTCATCAGCAAAGTGCTCTAATTAGTCCAGGACAGTTCTGTTTTTTAAAAATAATCCTTTTACCCACAATTCAAAAGCAATGTCTTATTTCACTAAGTCATAATTTAGCAAATTTTTATTTATTATTACTTTTTTCAGTTTCTAGTTATTTGAGTGACTGTCGTGAATTTAGCCTTTTTTTTAATGGAGGGGTCTGAATACATTTGTGGACGACCGTAGTTACAACATTAAAACTACTTTACCAGTGTTACATTTTTATGCTTTTTCTTTGTGTGCATCTTTGATTTCTTCTATAAAAAGTGACTTATGCCTAAAGTTTGCACTGATTTCTATGCATTTAGCTTTAAGAGTTCGATATTACAGAATTATGCACATGTTGTGACCCTGCTTGAATTTACAATATACAGTGTTCCTCGCCTCCTTAATTTATAGTTGTGTTTTCTTGCTTTTCTTTCTGTACTTTGCTGCTGTGACGTTGCAAATTTCCCCTTTGTGGGACGAATAAAGTCTATTCTATTCTATTCTATTCTATTCTATTCTATTCTAACAAACTGTAAAAATGACATCTTAAAGGTTCCATTTGGTGAAAATCCGTCTGTTTTGTGTTTTCTGCCCTAAAAAACTTGGAGCTACAAACTAAAAGCTCCTCAGACTCTGTGCATGTCCACCTGTGGCTTGTGTCCTGCTCCCACATGGTTATATTTGAACTCAGCTGAACTCCCCGTAGAGCTGTTTTCAGTTGCCTAGTTTTCGGTTTCTGTTGTCAGATAATGAAACAGTCATGAGTCACTTCCAAGCTGCTGCTCTGCACCGCTGATCTACAGATTGTACGACTGTTTGCTTTAACAGGTCCGTTATCTGTTGTATCAAAACAGCATCCTGCTGGAAAACCTCGTAAACATTTGCATTTTACTGTGGCAACGAAAACAACCTTTGGGCTCATGTTTCTGTGTAGAAGCAAGATGCAGCTGAAATTAAGTTTTCTGACAAGGTTTCTTAAAAACAATGATAACTACGCTCGTAGAAAACATTATTAAAGAACAGAGAGAGTCTTCCTCCTGAAAGGGGGCGCTGAAAAGCAGCAGCTCAGCTACATTTGAAGCTCCAACCGTTCGGGTAAAAGCAGGTAAAATGAACTATTGTGGTATTTTGAGCTAAAAAATTCCAAAACACATCCTGGGGAGACGTCAGACTTCCATAAATTTGCCTAATTGAGGCAAAAAGTCGGACATTTAAAAGCTGATACGAGCAAACTGTTGCTGATTTACATATTAAGCAGTCAATGAGCAACGAGAGCATGAATGTGGAGTCCAGCTTTGTTTTCTAGAAAAAGATATCCAACTGTACTTCTAAGTCATGTACGATGTAGTTTTAGATTCTTTTTAATTAAAGAAAGGCTGCTAGTTCCATCTTAAATCAATGAGAATGAGTTTGATCCTATTTATGGCTGCCGCCGCCCTTTTCAGCGCCTTGAAACTGATTCGATTTCGAAATGTGGACAGTTAATCTAAAGTTGTGCGAGGCATTCAGCAGCAGTTACTCACATCTGAAGCGTACTTGTTCCACTTCTGGGAGTCGTCCTGCCAGTACCAAAGCCACTCGGTGGTGTGGATGTAAGTCGGCTCGACCACAGAGTTCAGGGTGGAGAGACGACGCACTTTGTTGGCTCCACTGGTCATCGTGTCGAAGTGCACGGCGGGGCTGGTGGTACTGAAGCAAGAAAAGGAGGATTTATTAATTCACAGGATTAAATTCACGTCCATGAGGTGCTCTTTGGTTTTAGACTTCCAGGTTTTTTTAAACATAACAAAGTTAAAGAACAAATGTGGAGCTTTTCTGTATCGTTGTTCTTTTTCAGAATCGGTTTCCGGTTCAAACATCTACGGCTGAATTACTCCAATATTACACCTTGCCATATGTAGAGTAGTTACGGCAGAGTGAGCTGGTGTGCTGAGGCTGCAGAGTGTGAGGCCAGAGGTGAGGAGTCCACAGATGTGCATGGAGGAGCCAATGATGCAGGGTTAGAGCTGAGCTTGTTCCAAGGCAGGAGGGGATTATTTTCATGGTAAAACTTCTAAATATCTAAACCTGTTACACTGAGTTGAGCTTTTAGGCGTTAAATCAGTAACTGAAGCTGGTACTTGGAGTTTTTTTGGGTTGCCGTAACATTTTAACTCACTGTGGGTTCATTTTTCACTACAATATAAAGTCCTGAACTTCTGTGGAAACAGAACAACCGTGACTAGAAGGAAAGAGAACCCAAAAACGTCGAATTTCTTTTTATATTTCACAAAAACGGAAAAAAACAAAAAATGGAATCCACAAGTGCAACACTTTTCTGAATGCCTACAGGTTTTACCTACACCACAATAAAGGATCTACATACTAAAAATATTTTACCATTCACAACAATCCGTTTTTTTTATTCATCTCCTCTCAGCTCTGTGGAAACACTGCCTGCAGTTCAGCCGAAATGTACCTGAACCTTTTCCAGGTGACTGGTAGAGATCGATTTCTATTCAGGTTTAGGGGTACTACGTAATGGAGCAACTTTTCTTTCACAGCGAAGACTTTGATAAAAAAATATTCAAACAAACATTTAAAAGATTGTTTAATTGCTATTTCAGGTTTCATCATTTTTTTCACGTTTTTGCTAAGTGTGAAGTTTTTCTTCTGTATGTAAATCTGGTTCTGTTTGTAATTTGGTGACATTTATTTTGTGGAGGCTTTAAACGAGCCACCCAGGCTTCCTCTTCCTGCACAATGCTTTTATCTGTTAGCTGTGTTCTCTCTCTACGTTTCTAAAAGATGCAAAACAAACAATAAATCACTGTTGGTTGCAGCTGAGTTGCTCCTGATGTCAGTTTTGTACAGAACCTGGTTAGAACAGACACATTTCTAAATGAGAAAACGGATTTTGATGAAATATTCCAACAAAATCAGCTTGTAGGTAGAATCAAAGTCTTGACAATCTGACTCTTCTGCCTGTTTTTGCAGTTTCTGGCTCTGACAAATGGTGCAATTAGCAACAAAGAATAACCTCTGAGCTCGTGTTTTCTCTCAAGCGCCAACCAACAAACCCAAAACCGTGTTGTACGGAAACACAGCGTAGAAGCAAGATCAGAAATCTGTCTGATTTGACACGTCAAGGTCAGTTTGCAGCTTGGAACTGGAAGACGTAGGCTTCAGTGTTTTCAGAGATATTAGGGACTAAAAGTCAGAGTGTTTTTTGCTCTTCTGGAGAATTACAAGCAGGAAGCAGAGGGTTTATTTTAAGTCTAGGATGACAACGTGTGAAGGTGAGGTGTTGAGTTCAGCTAAAATCAGAGTATAAAGTACCTGTATGTGTTTTTCGGATCGCAGTAGTCCTTCTCAATCGCCTCATTCTCGGACATGGCGGTCCACTGCTCGCCCTCTTTCACCTCCCATCTGTACGGCATCTTGTCGTGAGCTTTGAAACAGCGATCTGAGAAAAAGATTAACGGTCAAAACTGATGACGATTAAAGACACAAAACAAGTTTCATTCATAGTTTTGTGTGATGACTGAGTCTCACCCTCATGGATGCAGTGTCCTTTGATGAAGAACATGCAGATCTCGGTTTTATCTGGAAGAAACGAACAGAAAGCACAAGGTGAGTTCTGCTTTAGTTTTCTTTTAGGGAGCAATCCGTTGACAGCAGCTGCCTTACTGTACCTCTGACAGGCCTTTGTCTTCTGTTCGGAGCATCGTCGCCGTTCGCAGCTTCGTTGTTGGCGGCAGCGAAAATGTCGCTCGTGGAGCGGTTCTTTGGTAGCTGTTGAAAGTTGTCCCGGTTGCCCCGGTTGCCCCTGTTGCCCCTGTTGCCGCCTCTTCCTCTGACAGCCGCGGAAGCTGTGTTCGGACGTTCCTTCTGTCCTCCGCCTTCGCTGCTTGCGATGGACGCCTCACCGTCAGACGATCCATCGGCGCCGTACAGATCCAAGGTGTCGATGTTGGCGAGGATGTCGCCGAGGGAAGCGGCTCGTTGCTCCCTTGGTTGGTTGCCATGGCTTCCTCTGGTCCCTCTGGTCCCCCTGTTTCCCCGATTGCCCCGACTGCCCCTGTTGCCACCTCGTCCTCTCCCTCTCCCTCTCCCTCCACCACCATCGCCCCAGTGGCCCTTGCCGCTTTTGTTGTCGGAGACCCTCAGGGCGTCTTTATTGGCGTAGGCGGCCTTCAGCGAGTGAAACAGGGTGTCGGGGATGCCTTTCTCCTGCAGGACTCGTAGCGGCTGTGGAGCGTTAAAGTCGTGGTTCCTGTAGCAGCTGCAGTCGTGGCTGAAGAACTTCTCGCACATGTGGAGCCGCTTGCAAGCGTCGCCGTCCTGACAGCGGCCGAACTCTCCGTGACCGTTGTTGTAATTGAAGCAGATCTGGCGGAGCGAGGATAAGACGAGGACGAAAGGTGGTCACAATAAAACAAAATCTAGCTGCTATCTAACATTTCACTGCAAGTTCAACTTAGCCAGGCTTTCTATGAGTTAGCCGGCTCAACAAAACCTAACACCCCGATCAGAGAGGACGGGTTCTTGTTAACCAGGATTTCCTCATCAGGCTTTGAGCGTGCTCCCATAAAAGTGGGCCTCATTCAACTCTTTATTTGGGTGCACCAGTGCTACCAGTAGAAAAGTTGGTCTGGAGTTCTGGTTTCACTTAAATGCATCGTTTAAACAAACCCCAAACGAGTGCACCAACAGGCTAAAGTGCTTAAATTCAAATTAACCCCTTTTTCTGCTGGTCTTAATTTAAAAATAGGTCATTAAAACATATCAAATATCAATTATCAAGTGAAATAAACCATTTTTCAGCTATGTTTCACCCTAATCCTAGATTTTTACTCCACTCTAGACTGTGTGGACTCTCACCAGCAGCAATCAACATGTGAAAATGACAATCATACGTTTCCAGGACGTCAATATTTGGATAATATCACAAGATATTAACTGAAACGGAAACGCTAAACGTGCTGCTCACAGATGACAAAGTGCTGGAGAATTAAAAAGGGACATAAAGCTAAAGTTTGGTGCCAAAGAGGGTGAAAAATCATCAAAAAAAGCGCGTAAGAAATAAAAAGAAAAGGCGTCGTGACGACCTCTGACAGGTCAAACCACCAGATGAGCTGTGGCTGTCGGTGTCGTGTGCGTTTCCAGACTTACGGGCGGCAGCAGCGTGTTGTCGCTCTGCAGCATCAGAGTTCGCAGCTCGTACAGGTTCAGAGTGTCCAGCTCCAGCTCTGCCAGCACCGTCCGGTTGTGGTCGGAGTCCAGCTCGTGGGAGAAGCTGCAGCCTCTCCTGTCGACAGAGACGTCACACGGATCAGACGAGACCGTCGCCGACTGCTTCATGTTTCATAACATTTAAATGATTGGATGAACATGGAGTCGTATTTATGTGACCTGGACAAAATCAGTCAGTGGTGTTGTTGTTGTTTTATATGTCACACATAAAGCTTTAGATCATAACAACACAACCATGAGCCTGACAGCAGCTTCACGTCTATCTGGAAGCAGCATCCAGTCGTTCCAGTTTAACCGGTCGTCATGTCGTCTGGGGAGGTGTGTTTGTTGTTGTTGTTTTTAGATTCATCACGAGAGAGAGCCTTGTTATTGTTGTGTGTTCAAAAGTGTGACAAGATACCGAACGTACCAACATCGTGAGTTAAGCTGGAGTTGAAGGGAAGTCACGTTTCCTGTGATGCAGAGAGACACGTGTAACGCAACAACAACAAAACTAAATCTGAATATACACGAGCATGTCAAACTGTCTAAACAACTAACAGCCTGGTTTATTTAACTGCTGCTTCATGCACGACTTTCTTGCTGTAAAGGTGTTCAGGTGTTGAATAAACTCAGAGGAAACAGTCCTGAACAGATGCAAGCAACACCTTCAGCTCCTGTTGGCGTCTTGTGGGAGATTAAACAAAAATAAAAACCCACATTCATTCGTAATTTCCTCTTATTTCAATTTTTACCTAATAGATGTGGGATTGTGGAGCAGAAGTGAGGGAGTAAGGCGAGTTGTGGGACAAATTTTGGTGCTAAAATGTGGGAAAATCTTCCTCCTAAATCACCTCAAAGGGCTTGTGTTGAGTTTGACGTCGTACTGAAACGTCTCTCGGTTCGACTGTCGGTGTGACTTTTCCAGAAACGCAACCAGAGCGCTCATGTCTGAAAGGAGCTTGTTTTTAACATCATCTACAGACACCAGTAAGAAACAGGCTGGCTGAAGGTAAAATGGCGTTTCTCAGTGACGCCTCGTCGACCCGTTTGTGGGTCATGTTTACTTTTTTATCAGCTGCTGGTGATTCAGGAAACACGCCCGTGTTAAGTGCTGTTAGTCAGACTCTCCCTGCAGCTTCAGCCTTCAGCAGCCAAACCCAGATGTTACCAACGACACAACAAACGTGTTGCGTGTTGACGTTCGCTGGAAAAGAAACTGCAGGCTTCAGTGATCACCAACCTGAGTGAAGCTCGTTCAGCTGCTTTCACTTCCCAGAACTACAAATGATAACGCCCTGTTTCAAAACAGCTAAAAACACATCCAGAGCAGATTTGGCAGGTTGAAATATAAATAAAATAAAAACTATAATCACTTACCTGACTAATGTTAACAGTACTGTTATTATAGATGCAAATAGCCAAATTAAATATAACATTTAAAGCCTTACAATAATATTAATTATGTGAATTTAGCAGATTAATTATTAATTATGCACATGTACCTAGATTAAATGTTAAGGTTAAGGTCCTACAATATTATTAGATACGCACATTTGCCTAACTTAAATTAAACGGCTAAGACACAATAGTATTATAAATTATGTAAATCTACCCTGACTACATTAGATGTTATGATTCAGTATTGAACACCTTATTTTGTTTTCAAACATGTTCCAGACTAATTAAAATATCACAGTTAAGACAATAAAAACATTATTGATCAAGCAAATTAACCTGATTTATCTAAATATAAAGACAAATACCCCACAATAATATTATTTATTTAAATTGACTCGATTAAACTGAATATTAAAAGGTAAAAATCTACAAAATTAGAAAAAATAAAAACATTTACTAATTTAAATATTCCGGATAAAAACCTTCAATATTATTAATTATGCAAATTCATGGGATTAATTTAAATATTAAGACACAAGTACATTATTAACCTCAAATAATAAATTACAATATTTAATACTCTAATTACATGACACAGTTTGATAAAAATTAAAGACCCTGCAAAAGCTAAGCTAAGCTAGGCTAAGCTAAGCTAATATACATTTAGCTTGAAAACATCAAAGTGAGTCTTGACTGTTAAATAATTCATTAAACAGTTTTATTCCACCTCTACAGCGACATAAATTTTAAAAAAGTTGTCGGGATCAAACAGACGTCCATGTTGGTTGTAGGTGAAGGTCAGATTCCCTTATGAAGCAGATTTAAATCAACAGGCTACGTGGTGAACAGACGGCTGTAAAACACAATAAACGCAACGACTGGGAGACGTGTGAGCGTCACACTGAAGTCAGACTCTGAAGGCAGACTTCCAAACCTGACTTCTGTGAAGGAAACATGACTTTCCTCTTAAGTTTCTAGAGATGGTGTTGAACTTTTCCCCTCAGCTCCTCTATAATAATATTATTGTAGGGTATAGAAAAGTAGTATTTGTAGCAGATGTGCCAATCTTCTATAGATTCTTGACCTCATTGTAGGAGGACAGGCACTCCCTGTACCTCTCAAGGCCAGATTACTCAAACTATCTGTTTCCCTTTTCACCCATAAACCTGGATGTGGCTCCCACTGAGGAGGGTATAAGACCGAAGCTGTGAGAGTAATCCTCAGAACTGATTCTGTTCTGTTGGTGTCACTTCAACTGAAGTCATCTGAGTGTCTCTCTCTGTGTCTTACATCAGCCTCCTCCACAGTTTCCACAACAGGATCATAAAGCACCGAGCGGACCATAAATCATGCTGACGTCAGCAGGAACAGGTTTCCTGTGTCTCCAGAAACAAAACTTAACAGCGTGAGGCAGCGTTCTGTTATTTTAGCAGCTCATCTGTGGAACAAACGTCCTGAACATCTAAAATATGCTAAACCTCAGTTAAATCAGACCTTTTTATCGACTCACATGAACCATCTTAGCTCTAAATCATTCACTTTTGTACTTTAAATGCACTTTTATTGGTTTTTAAGTTGTTTTATTTCTATGGTTTTAACATCTTTCACTTACTCTGAGATTGTCTAAATGCATTTCTACGAGTCTGTAAAGGACCTGGAGTTATCTTGTGTATAACTGCAGTTTCCCAGGCGTACGTGAACGCACCACGACAAGCCCTTTAAACCAGATTTAATTTTTAAAAACACTAAAACCAGCCGTGGCAGCACAATCCTGCTGTAAACACATTTAAACTAGACTGATTATTAGAATTTAAAGTGCTTTTAAATGGACTTCTAACCGTCCTGACTGAGCAGCATCAGAACCTCACCTGAGTCCGTCACACTCACCTGAGCAGAGAGAAGCCGCACGAGCCCTTGAACAGGTAGAACTGACACAGGTGGAGGCTCCGGCAGGACCCGGGACAGTCCTTGGCCCTGCACAGCCGCAGCCGGGCCCGGGCCACCACCGTCGGCTGTCCGTTCGGGCAGCACAGCACGAACTTGTCCGGGTTGCAGATGACCTGCGACACGGTGGTCGAGTCCCCCGGGTACAGGTTGTACATGAGGTCGTCGGTGCCCACCGCGCCCTGGTTGGCGCACACGATCTTCAGGATCTCGGCCTCCATGGAGCTCAGACTGCGGCTTCCTGCCTCCACCACAGCGACACACGGACTGGCAGACCGCTGCTGCTGCTGCTGCTGCTGGTTCAAGGCGGGGGGAGAGGTTCGGTTTCATTTCTGATGATTGGAAACCGAAACTTAACTGTGATTAGAGCTGCAACGCCGCCGCTGTCCGCTTGGGGGCGACACCGTGTTGCGGTTCATCAGCTGGACACGGTGGAGGAGACTTCATCATCATCATCATCATCATCAGCGGCACAGTGCAAAGAAAGGAACTGAAAAGACTGATAATGCATCTTAACATGCAATATTTAAGGCCTCATGTCACTCAGTGTTAATTATCATCAGATTTTTAATAAAAATGAGAAGAAAAAAACGTTTATTTTTAATCCCACCACTTTAACACAAACACAATGAAAATGACTTTAAAAATCAGAATACATATAAAATAACTAAAAATGCTACACATAATGCCTCACGTCATTCAATATCATTCATTATCAACAGATTTTGAAAGAAAACGAGCAGGAAAAAAAGTTTTATTTTAATCCCACCACTTTAACACAAACACACTGAAAATGCCTAAAAATCAGAATACATTAAATTAGGTGAAACATACCGATAACACATTTTTAAAAAGCAATATAAAATTGCCTCGCGTCACTCATAATCAATTATTATTCACAGATTTTTAATAAGAAATGAGCAGAAAAAAAGGTTTATTTTTAATCCCACCACTTTAACACAAACACAATGAAAATGAATTTAAACATATATAAACAATCAGACTGTATTATAATAATAACAGAAGTGTCTTTGAAAAAGTGATCATCTTTTTATTTTCAAACTGCAGGACCAGATAATTTAGCTGTAAAATATACAAACATGTTAAAAGTCAAAAGTCAATATTGACAATTACTGATCGACTTGAAGGGTTAAATTTTAATTTCTACGACTTTAACTCACATATAAACCCACTTTATGACTTAACATGTATATAAATAGTTATAATATACATTTTAATACCAGAGTTGAACCAATCAGTTATTAAAAAGGATCGTAGGATATAGGTGCAAAATGCATCTCAACAAAATGTCTGGTGTCATTGAATACCAAAAAGAGTTAAATAAAAATGAGTGTTTTGAATTTAACCACTTTAACTCACACATAAACACACTGAAAGTGACATAAAATATATAAACAGTCAGACTATATATTAGTACCTGACATTTCCTAAAAGTATGGATAATATATTTATTAAAAATGCAGCTCCAGACAATAAATCTGCAAAACGTGTCACGATTAAAGGTCATTAAATTAAAATAATTATTGATTTTTAACATTTTTAACAAAAACAAGCATAAAAAAGGATTGTTTAGAATCTCACCACCTTATAAAAACACTGAAAATGACATTTAAAATACATAATCAACACATGTATATATATGTATTAGTACTAGAAATGACCTTAATAATCTTTACAAACAACAACAACTGCAGAACCAGGTGATAAAGCTGCAAAATTCATCATGATAACATGTTCTGTGTCACTTAATATTAATAATTTTTGACAGATTTTTTAAATAAAAATGAGCAGAAACCACTTCAACCCACATACAAACAAACTGAAAATAACATAAAAACATACAAATAATCAGAATTTCATATGAAAAACATAAATTTCCTCAAAACACAGACGATCAAATTTTAAAAACTGCAGTCTGGAGCAACACAGCTGCAAAGTTTATCGTAATAAAATAGTTTATCGTCCTCATGTCAAATAATATTAACGACTATTGATAGATTTTCAATTAAAAAAACTACCAGAAAAATATTCATTTTTTATCCTATTACTTCAATCAACACACAAATTGCACAAAAAAAAAAGTCATTTAAATGCCAAAATTTCCCTTAAAATATTGATAATATATTTTAAATTGCATGGTTGGGCAATAAAGCTGCAAAATGTATCACAATAAAATGTCTGATTTCACTCAATATAGGTTTAAATTATCGATATATTTTTAAAAAAATAAAATAAAAATCAGTTATTTATAATAATTGCTTCCTGTCAAAGTTTCTATAATCTGTGTTTCCACAGTAGGTGTACAAGATTACATTTGCCTCCTTTTAAAATCCGATTACTGTAATCCTGTTAATGTAATCTGCAGCCGGCAGCCAGAAACCTGCCTACAGTCCCTCATGTTTGGGCACTTAGTTCACAGTAAATTCAATATATTTAGAGTCTTATTCCACCACATAAAGTGCAATTTATTTACCAAATTGCTCCATTGTTCCATAGTTCAGCTTAATTTCTGGCTCCAAAACACAAAAAAGGGGAAAAATCTGACATGTGCAGTTCGTTTTGTCAACTTCCAGACATTTGCTTTCACATTAAAATGCACTTTTTCTTTCTGTTTTGACCCTGATTTGAAGAAAAATAGGCCGAAAACAAACAAATGTATGGAATCGGACTCACCAGTGGATGGATATGTTTCATTAGCGGGTTCAGGATGAACATCTATCATCCCTCAGCGTCGCTCTTCTGTGTTTTCTCGTTAACCGGCGGCACATTTCCCATCAGCCTCATTGCTTCCTGCTCCCCCACCCCCATGCCGAAGAGAATAAACATGTTGGAAGTGATTTTTCCATGATTTTTTTCCCTCTTTTATGCCTCTCACTTCTTCCACCATCTGCTGCCACCAGAAACTCTTCAGATTTCACTGCCCTGTAACGTTTCTCTTCCTGTTTTTTAAAAAGAAAGACCCAGATTTACAGTCGGACCTGACTTCTGCAGGACAGATTACTTGCAGATTTATGGGGTGACTGTAATGGTTCGGCAATCTAAGATGCAAACCACTTACTTGATGCAGCTGTTCGGATCAAGTGGTTTCAGTGGCCTGAGTGTGTAGCAGCTGAAATATTTAAAGCAGCTTTAAAATCGCACGTTAAAGTTGACTCATCTACGCCTCGACTCTCGGTAGAAATCCTAAAATACCTCATGTTTAAATCCCCCGTCCTGTTTTAGCTCTGCTTTGGTCTCCACCAACTCCTGACGTAAATATCTGAAGCTGCCAAACACTAAAACGTGTGAACAAGCTAGTTGCTAACTTAGCCTGTCTGCTTCTTTTTTTAGGTTAAAACCAAAACAATTAGCTAAAAAAAAAAAACCTCTGCAAAGCTATTATCTGTAGGTTTATTACTGTGAGCATCTCTCCACTAGATGTCGCCACTGCACCAACATCTCAGACCAAAACCAGATAAATCTTTGTTGTCATTGTACGGTCACACTTCAGTGCAAATGAAATCTGCTTTCTCATCCACAGTGGTGCTAAAAAGAAAAAGGACATGCAATTATCAAGGATGAAATACACTTTATGTACAGTTATGAATATTATCAGAAAAAGAATAAAGATCACGTACATCATATGTAAACACTATATACATAAAAATGATCAGAATAAATCATGTGCAGGGTGAAGGTGAGCAGTAACGTGACTCTGAGCTGGTTATGGTTACTGTGATGGTTTTAGTGGCCCGCTATTGGACTGGTGCCTTGATTAGAGCTACTGCCTGATTATAAAAACTGTCTCTGAGTCTGTTAGTGCGACAAACAGCTGCATCCATCCATTATCTATACACTGATTAATCCTCACTAGGGTCATGGGGGACTGGAGTCTATCCCAGCTGACTCAGGGTGAAGGCAGGTTCACCTGGACAGGTAACCAGTCTATCACAGGGCTACACTTAGAGACAGACAACCAAGCACACTCACATTCACACCTACGGACAATTTAGAATCACCAATTAACCTCAACATGTTTTTGGACTGTGGGAGGAAGCCGGAGAACCCGGAGAGAACCCACGCTGCACGGGGAGAACATGGAGACTCCACGCAGAAAGATCCTCACCATAGATATGTATAATAAAGACTAGATGTCTTAAGGCGGCGTTTCAAACGGGATCGCCCTTCGGCCATCTTGCCACGGGGACGCTCTCTGGCGGAACCTGTGGTACGTGAAGGAAGGTGAGTGATCTGCACAAACATAAATACAAACTGTTTGGTTTCTTACAAACGTCATTAACGTGGCTACAATTCAGATTACAAAAATACAAATAAAACACAAAATAATTAAAATACTAATTGTTGCTGGCCCTGAGAGTGTAACATAATTATCCATGAGTGCAGTGTTATAACCACACCTCTGATGTTTATAACAAACCAAAACATTTGAAAATCGGTAGAAAATTGAGCAAGTTGCGGTTATTTAAAAAGTGCATGCACCACCACAGCACAATGTTATGGGTGAGCAAGCCGACCGTGCCAAGATGGCCGCCAGTGTGGCCGTGCGATTCCATTGGCCGGCAGCGCGGACGAGACATCCAGCCTTCATTATACATATCTATGGTCCTCACTGGGACACGAACCGGCGACCTTCTTGCTGCGAGGCAACGGTGCTAACCACTGCTCCACCTTGCAGCCCATGTGTACAAGACAGCTGAATATAAAACAATCCAGCCACAAACGTTAGTGATGCTACATTCACTTCTCCTGTCTGTCCTGTGTTTGCTCCATTCTCTGTGTGTCTGTTTCCGTGAGTCTGGAGCAGAACAAACAAACAGAGAAAGTAAAGCAGAGTCTCAAAACGGCAGCAGAGACTTAAACGCTGAGCTGAAGTGACCATAAATGAGAAAAATAATGTAAATAAAACACTTAACCTTTAAGTCATGAACGCTGCACTTCTGCTGTTAAATACCTGCAGAGCTGGAGGTCAGGCTTCAGTCTGTTCATAAACCCTTTAAGGTGCAACACTTTCAAAGGGACGGACTCACATGGAGCAAGAGAAGCCCACAGAGCGACTCCACTAAACATGCTGCATTAACGCTATATTTACCTTCAACATCACCCATGTTGCTCCTTCAAACTAAAAAAAGCTCTCCAGCGTAACACGGAGTGATGATTTCCTCTGGAATCACCTTGACAACAGTCATTTCAAAGCGCTGGGTGGAATCCTTTTTGTCTTTACTGTTCTCTATATGATCCTTTTCAAGCATAAAAT